TGCACGAGAGCGCATCACAAACAACCGTATATACCCACACGATACACGTGCACCTATACATATATACGCGTCCAAGTACGCGATTTATAGTACGCGTGTATAATACAGATATATCGGTAGGTAGGTCAGGTGTATGATATATATATATTATATATATATAGGTTTGTACCAGCTATACCGTGCGTATAATGGTCGTGGCAGCAACCGCAGAGTGCGTGTTCGAGACGGCGAGTTCCGCGGAAACGTATTTCTCCGCGGTACCTATATGAGAGCGAGAGACTGTGTGTGTGTGTGTGTGTGTGTGTGTGTGTGTGTGTGTGTGTGTGTCTGTGTGTGTGTGTTTGATGAGCGTGTGTGCGCTTGTGTGTGGTGCAGAACAGTCGTGGTATACCTACGCTATACATTATGTTATTATAATATATATATATGTGTGTACTTCGTAATTAGAAACATACCCGAGGTCTTTGGCTGACAAACGCGTGCATAAATAGACAATGCAATGACTAACGAATTATTTCTATCAAAGAAAACAAGGCGAAGAGATAGAAGGTATTATAATTACATTATAAACGGCTAATATAAAATTATAATATTTGACAATCTGGGGATACTTAATGACTTTAGGGGTGAAAGACGAGAGACACCCTCGTGCGAGGCCTGTGGTATCGGGCAAACAATAAAACTCAATACACATCATCCTAATTCCTAACTGAATGTCCCACCAGGACCGGCTCAACCTCGGAATTTCTGAAAACCGCAACTACTCATCCCCCGGGGCCTACGACCAAACCCTGCACATCAAAACAATTTAATCAAACGATTTATACAATGCGATTTAAAGATACAATACCTACCCATTTAAATCGAATGAAAATCTTTCCACATAGGTAGGTTTTTTCTTACTTTTAGTTATCAAGTATCATCTACTTTCCTTAACTGTAACAAATCCAACGTTTCATTAAAATAATATGTAAATACAAAATGGCTAATGCATGGCTATTGTCCCCAAAGTCATAAAAAGGAAATCAATAAAAGAAAAAAAAATATTTGACGATCATATTATAATATATTGTCTGCTGAACCGTGATGGACGCATAACATGATATTAATCATTAATTGTGCACTGGCATTTTATTTTCAGTAGGTACACCTACCCTCAGAGTAAAAATTCATTGCCCCAAAATTAGAGGTTGACGGGTAAAGCTGTTTGGCAGTATAATGTAATAATATAATGGGGGTAGGTGGTATTGGGATACATATATTATATATTTATTGTGTCCGCGCGATTTATAGTAATTATTCGTCGTCGAAAAGAAGCGTGTAGGTACGATGTGGGTATAATATTACATTATAACATAACGACGTCGTTAGCGCCCGTTTAACCGCGGCTTGATGGGGACTTGACAGCGGTTGCGGTATACCGATGTACGCGCTCATAAGAATATTTTTACATAAAAACGCTGTGGAATATATTTGGCGTGTTATAAATTATAATAATAATATATTCGTATACCGACGCGATACCGTTTTACGTATACTTGCACACGACCGGGACGGCGATTTATCGCGAGGCGCAGTTGTGCATATGTGTACACATATTATACTCATAGATAGGTCGCAGGGGGACAGATGTGACTATATATACCGACCAGCTATATCATATATCATAGTACCTACCTATGTAGTATAAATATTAATTTCAATTACATGGTCCGCGTGATAACAATATAATAATTGTGTGCTGCTGCTGCAGGTGTCTGCGATTTTAACACCGCGTTTGTATGAATAGGTACATAAACATATATATATATATATAGTATTTAAACGGAGATTATAATATTATGACGACGGCGACGACGACGACGACGACGACATACCCTCATATTGTGTGCACGAGAGCACCTATATATTACAATATAATACAATATATACACACTGGCACAATGTAAATAAGCCCGCGTATATGTGGGTGCGTGGGTATATACTGCACAACCTACCGAATCCAACCGATGCCGGCTCTCGTATATAGGTATATTACAATATATATATATCGCGGGGGTATAAATTTACGAATAAGTTTATTCGGACGAGGACGAGAAATACGGCCGGGCGAGCATCTCGGAATTACTTCGACTACCGCGTTATATATTATATATACGGCCGCCGACGCCGACCCGCCCAATCCCCGACGACGCCGCCGAAACGCAATGAACGTCGCGCGTAAAGTTTCCGACGGCACCCCAATAACTTACACGCCGAGGGAAACCCATCGCCGACCGACCTTTTGCCGGGTGTCGTATATACGCGTATCTATATATTATACTCAAAGGCCGGCGTCGTCGCTGTAGGTAGGTAGATGGTATACCTATAATACCGCACCGTCTCCTTATAACTAGAACGTCGGAACGAGAGACGATGTCGTTATAATATGGAATTCGGCGAAAACGCAATCGTACGTGAGCGTGCCGCATCGTCTGTGGCGGAGTCGTATTATGGGAGTCCATACATACATGTTTTTAAATGATATATTAAGCGTGCACTGTATCGTGTATCGTGTGTTATAATATATAATATATATTTATAAGCGTGCGGCTGATGTCTCTATAAAAGCATATTATTATTATTATTATTATGGTGTGTACATTTCAAAGAACGATCCAATTATGTGATGTCGTTTATTTGAACACCTCCAATAGCGTATATTTGACGCCCGAGTAACTGCATAATATCGAACGCCCCGATGATGGGCATCGTTGCCGTTTTATTTGATTTTTCTGCAATTATCGCGTCACCTACTATAGTCGTTTGACTATACCAATATAGTTGTAATTTGCAATTTATATGATTAACTTTTATTTACCACGATAATCGAATCAGAAAATCCGTGTTATCTTCTCGTTACACGCACACACACCAGTTTTTTCGATAAAAATAAATTGCTCGAATGTCTTACGCACTAAAAATAACTGTTAGCATGCATCGTATACACTCGTACCTATACTCTTAGAAATAATACAATTAACGCTAAGACATGATATTTGTATACTTAACTAATTAATGTTATTTCATATAAACTGTAACAATAAATAAAATAATCCGACAAAAAAAAAGTAGATTTTACAAATATTTGTAAATATGTCCTGTAAAACATATTTGAAATAGCAAGATATAAAAAATAAGAAATAATATGTGTCTGATGTATTGGAGTATGCGCATAATGCATACATAATTAATATACCTTACCAATATTTTATGCTTAAAATAGCATAGGAGGTGAGTTAGTACATGATACACCTGCTGTTAGTCAACACATTTTTATCGTCGAATTTAAATTAGATATTAGAAACAATTAGAATTGATTTTAATACACAACCAACAGAATGAATAAAATGTCAATTCCACAGATAATAATATAGGAATATAGAAGTTTTGATATTAACCGAGCCCAATATTTATGACGTAGGTATACCGAGAGAACGACCGGCGCAACGATGTCGACGATTCGCAATTTTCAGCTATGTATAAATGCATTATGTGGGTTATAACTAAATATATAATATACCTACTATAATATTATATAGTATACACAATAAATCATTTGGCGACCACTCGTCGCGTAATACAATACGCAATCACGACCGTTGTACAATCCCATTTCCATCATCCCTCCGATTCTGTGGTGCGTATATATACGTGATGATATACTACTACAATAATACCGCGTTCTATGGTTATTCGCGATAAATGAACTCGGTGATGTTATTATTGTTGTTATTATGATTATGATTATTATTAAATTGTTATTATAAATCGCTGCAGGTGGCTATGCAATGTATACAACGGAGCGGGGAAGTGGTCGGCGATAAATATTCTAGAACGATATTATTATTATTATATAGAAATCGGAACCGCCGTCGTTAAAATAATCGTTAACAATGATTATTGCAGAGGCCATTTTACCGCCGTTACGCCGGAAAGGAAATAATCCGCTGTGCATCGTCTATGTCCCCGCGATTGGACGGCGGATACGCAGAAGGCCCGGTTGTAACGAAACGGATATCCTTTGAATGGCCCTTAAACGACGTACAATACTAATTTAACGATTTATCCCGATGCCCTTTCTGCCACCCCGTCATAACCCATCACCGCACTGGCTAGGTTACATATACATACCTGCTTTATTATAATATATAATATACATTTTAATATGTATATATGTACTACCTCATACTCGTTAATACACAATATAATCGTTATACAACCGATAACACACATTACACATCGTCGACTAAATGCTCCAAAATTGAGTTTACTACAGCGAGATGTTGCAATAGCTATATAATTAGGGCAGGGACCTAGATAAAACGTCATTTTTTCTGGAGTTTTAAGACATTGCTCCGTCAGTGGAAACTATGTTTTTGATGATAATGATTATTTTCATATAATTTTTACTTTGCAGAACTTTTCAAGTTTTAGATTATTTTTCATCAAATGCGAACATTAAAAGTATAAGATCATATATTTTATGATAATGGTTGATGGCTAGATAGAGACGGACATGAATTATATAGATAATAACATTAATTACAACATTTTCAAATATTTAAAGAGGCTTCAACAGTATTTATATTTTAATTTTAATTTACTATCTTACCTTCACAGCCAACCTTTTGGTATATATTCGCAAGTCCCTACGTCCTACATGCAATTTAATTTTTAGTTGCGTGTTTTTTTCTTTTCACAAGACCTGTCCACCTAATTTAAATATTAATACTTAAAAGGTTTTTTAAATTTAAATTTAAATATCATTTTTATTTTTTATTTTTTAGCATACATTTAAATACATTTTTATATTGAAATCCCAACCCTAAATATAATAGTATAACTATCATGTGTTCTATTGTAATATATCAGTGTAATATTAAATTGGTCTTGTGTAGTAAATAGTAATAATTGTAGTTGGGTTTTCGTGATTGATTTGTTTTGTTTTCATATTACAGGCGAACAGCAAAGCGATATAAACGCACGCATAGGGCAGTCGGCGTTTTTACCATGTGAACTGGAACCCAATAACGTGACCACGGGATTCGAGATGACCACCCAGTGTGGGACAGTTCACTCTGTGAAATGGTACCGAGGAGCAAGCAGAATATTCCTGTATTCCGGTGGGCCTCGAACGACACAACCGCACCGAGAAGGGTATACCGACAGATATGATAGGTAAGTCGAACAACATACTCAGTCATAGTTAATAATAATAATAATAATAATAATAATAATAATAATAATATTAATAATAATAATAATAATAATAATAATAATAATAATAATATTAATAATAATAATAATAATAATAATAATAATAATAACATAGACTTTGATTGTATAAGAACAACAACCCTGTGTAATGAATTGAATTTTCTTAAATATTTATAATAGCCAATAACTGTATTTTTTCGGGTGACCCGTAAACCGTTGTTGATTCCTATCCTACTGTAATGGTATACCTTAACCTAATGTACTATATTATCTTAATTCTGAGCGGAGCGTGAAGTACATGGGTAGTGCTCAACTTGAACACCTTTTCGGACAGAAACAGCGTGCTCCAAAGTCTCAGAGAGAAAATCATGATGGTACTTAAAAAGTTATTTTTCGATTTTTTTTTTTTTATCAATAGTATCTTTGGCAAGAGCGTAAGAAAAGACTAACAACGAACGTTGACAAGATTTTCGGGAAAATGTAATTTCGAGCGAAGTGTGGATTTAATAAAATTATTTCCCAAGTGCTACGCTTCATGCAGTTCTTATTGCTTTCAAATTGAATATCATAATAATTCATAACACACCGTCACAATTATATTCATCTATAACGCCCAACATTTCGCAGTCTCTGCAATCCCGACCAGTTTCGTAGTTCTTACAAGTTTAGACTGGAGGTGTAATCTTACGATCCTTAGCCATTCGTGTGTACACCTAATTTATAATATTATAAACTATAAGCAGGCTCCCGGGAACATTGTTCTCGCAATCTGCAATCTCGCCATTATAATTATAACTTAGGTACAATTACAATATAGGTTATAATTAGACTGGGATTTCGATGCAATCATGTCATTCATTTTCCAGTGTTTCAAAACGCTTACCTCTATAAAGGGAAAATATGTTTAAAAGGACCCTGATTGTTTTAGTCATATTTTTATTCGTAGATACCTTTATTTTGAATTTATTGTCAATCACAATTTTTTTTTTATGTTTTTAGAAATTTTTTGTCCTTAATTTGTATTTAGAACATTTTTCATGATTTATTTTTGAAGTGAATGTGAATTATAATATAAAATGTATTATTATAGTAAAAATCAGCATATTGGTAGAGGTATTAGTTATACTGACAGTAAATATAATGCAATATTCGTCGTCCATCTTTTAATATCCACAAATAATTAAAGAGTTAAAAAGTGATAAAAATAGGCAAGTTATAGTATAGTGTCGATTAAAACAAAACATAATATTGTACAACTATACGATTCTGTTGAATACCTTTTTTAAATTGTAAAAAATACGTTTTTAAATGAATTTTTTAGTAGTGCATATGACCTTAAATTTCCAAGACATTTTCGCATTTTTGATGGCATCAAAATCCCAGCCCTATTTTTGTAATATATGTATATTCGTTGAAGTTGGGAACACATAAAGTCAACCGTAGTGGTTTTATCAGCTAACGCTGACGGGGCTTTTAATTATGCGGCCCCTTCTGTGTCAACACACAATAGCCGACTAATACATTTAACTGCAGTGAAATCCGCCCGCTGGCCGTCGTATTAGCTATCGACATTATTGGTAGACTAATGCGCAAACCATCGACAAATCGCCGCTTTTATCCTTCCGGTATATCTATACTGCAGCAACTATACACATCGAAGTTATCGTTGTTCCACGTTTCAAACAAGAATACATACACGATTGATAATTTATAATAATAAAAGAACAATGTTATTTTTGATTTATCTTCCCGCCCCCAAAGTTGACTGCAATTTGTTTTGATTATAAAACTATATGACGTAAAGATTTTTTAGACATAAAACACGCATCACTGATTTAATGATGCTGCACACTATAGGTATATATGACTATAGCTAAATTTTATAGAAGTAATATTTTTGACGTTTTATTAATTGTTTTATTGTATTTTATTGCAAACTGAATCAAAACAGTAATTCACTAACTATAAAAGGCAAACGTTGAAATGCATAATTTAAGTTATTAAATATAAAATATTTACTTAAATTGATAATATTGAAATACTATCAATTAGGTACATTGTACATCGTACATATTATGTATAACTAATTGTTATTATTTTCGTTTTAAATAAACTTATTATTAAATAAACTTAATTATTGAAATCCCTCTTAATACTATAAATATAAATATATGAACAAAATAAAAGGGAGAAAGTAGGAAACCGCTCTGTTATACAGTAGAAGTCGAGTGTAACTATCGTCATTGAGTAGGTCACTGTAATCGTTACAGCTTAATTGATGTGTCAAATTTGAATTCAATGATTAATCATTTCATACGAAAATAACAATTCTGAGCGGAGACGAGATAGCCATACGCATATAAATCCTATTATCATACATTGTTGATAATTATTATTCTATTATTTATTTAAGTATCGTAGTAATACGGCATACACTTAAATAGGAAATTGCATTAAATTAGGTAATCTAAATATTTGGAGAATGGCATCGTGCGTATAAAATATAATATTGTAGGTACCTATGTAAAAGTTTCAAATCCTCACAAAAAATATTTTTTAATTACAACAAAATTATTGATATAGGTAATCCTTATTCTTCGTTTAAATATCAAATTTCGTCCAAGTTTGAACTCTGAACGATTAAAAAATAATTGCCTATGTAGGTATCTTTAATATTTTTAAATAGCTATAATAAAGACTTACAAAAACTTTAAAAAAAAGGTATAAAACTTATAATTCTTATGATAAATTTTTAAACTTTTTGTTTAAGCGATATTATTTTTATCGATAGGTATTAGTAGAAAAAAAATTCGTAAACGTTTATAAAAAGGCCAAAAAGAAAAAAAGAAATGTTTTTTAAATATCACTATGTGTAAAAAATGATAATTTAAAAATTTAGCAAACATTTCAAGTATTTACAATTATTTGTTTTCGATTTAGAACAAAATAAGAAAATTGTTTGATGATAAATCGTTATTTTACCCATGAATATTCTATTGCATTAAAATTTAAACTTAGCTTGCATAAAAAATATTTATGGAACACGCTCAACTTTTTTTTTAAACCCAGTAATAACAACTTATGAGGAACCTTGTATTACATTTTCAAGGTTTTTGACCTAGCTAAAAATTGTATCGACAATTAAAATGGTAATATCATGCACATATAAAATGCTAATATAAATATTTTTGGAATAAAAATTCCTATTTTTACCTAATTTTTTTTTTATCTCAAAAGTATCATCTAAAGATCCATTTTTTTTTATCAGAAACTACCTTCAAAGTAGTAGATCGATGCATATTTTACTATCTATAAGCATAAAGCTACAAGAATAAAAAAACACACACCATTGTAAAATAAATACCTAATAAATAATTTGAGAATTATGCCATTTCCATCAAGTACCACGACGTACTATTTTTTGTTTATGCATAACTTTATAAAATATAGACATTACTAATTTGACACATCATATTTTGATCATAAATGTAATTTAAATTAGGTAATAAATTAATATTTTTGGGCTGTTACTTAAGGTTTTTCAAAATTTCAAAAAGTGATCAAGCTCAATCACCAATTAAGAATGTTAAATATAATTATATGGTATTATTAATTAAACAGTAGGCACATAGTTTTTTTAAACCATGTTTTAAGTTAATTTGATTTTATGATAAATATATAAAATTATAAGTACATAGTGTTTATAATAATTAATGATATAATAACTTATCCATATTTCATGATGATTGATGATATCTCCCTTGAAAACATGTTCTAGATACTGTAAAATTGCCTCATTGCTTTGAAACATCAAAAGATGAATGGCCAAAGTTACTATCATATTTAATTATTATTTTGTTTTCTTTGTTCTAATGTAACCTTGACGATCTGCATATATTTGTACTGTAAAATATAATATGGATTAGTTATTTTAGTTTCGAAAACTAAGTTTAGAAGCGCAACAAGAATCTATTAGTTATTCGACAATTATATTTTTTTGTTTTTATTCTTGATTACTTTTAAAGAAATCTAGTAGCAAATCAACACTGTTTTAGAATTTCAGTAATATAATAGATACCTAAATATATTATATAGTTATTAAATATCATAATTATTTCGCTAATAATTTATGTTCTCAAAGTATTTTATCATAATTATGGGATACGCGTTTTAAATAGTTAGTTGATAATTAAGGACCAAAGTTAAAATTGAGTTTTTTTCTACTTAAATAAAGAATAAATATAAAAATTTTATATTTAATTTCAGATACAATTTGAATTTTAAAACTTTTTTCTTTATTTTTGTTCTACATATTTTCATAAAATTAAAAAAAAAATACTTAAATAGATAAACTTGAAAAATAAACCCAAAATGTGAACTAATATATCAAATTTATGTTCCTATAGAAAAATTCATCAAAATATGCAAATGTATAGGCAACATAAAACTTTCTATACGTTATTTTAAGTTAATAAAACTTTGAAAGAAGCACTAACTCAGAAAAAAATATGTATAAAAATCCACAATTCAATAATTACATAATATGTACTTAATTAAATGTATACTTAATATATTTGATATAATATGTATTATTAATTTGCGAATCTATATACCTACCATATACGTGATTGGTTCTATATTAGTATAGCTACATCCAACAGAATATAATATACATTCCATATTCCTTGAGTAGGTAGTTTTATCCTTTTTGATTTAAATTTTTTAAATGCCAACACTTAATGAATCTATTTTTATCATAATTTATAAATAATAGGTGCATCCAAGTTTAATAATAGACGATACTTCTTATAGTTTTTTGATTAAATATTGATCACATATTCTATTCATGAGCACGTGAGCATAAGCCATTTTTGTAGTTTCCGCAGTTTTCCAGAACATTGCAAATAAACAGTTGATTTCATATTTTATATTCAAACCGTCTATGAAAAATTTCATATGTA